GCTAAGTTATACACCATAACATAAGATTGTACGACTAATAAAATACATCCATGTCAAAAGGCACCACATAATATACTCATCCGCTTGCTTTGTCGCTTAAAAGCCTTTGGACGAACACAGTTTCCAATTTGATTGCCCTGAACACTCCCACATTCTGTGGTTTTTCCAAAATAAGAGACAATGCATCAATTTGATCCATAGGAGAAAGACACATTGCTTCAAGTTCGTTAGCTATGTCACTATGATCTACAATACCTTGAACTAAAGCTTTAGTTACCATTTGCATCCTCTTCCCACTTTCAACATAAAAATCTTTCAGTACACTGATAATTGCCTCGGTTCCATCACTTGAACTTCCCATAACTCTTTTCCTCTTTCTTTGGCCATTTTCAGATGAGGTGCTTTGTTGGCTTTGTTGGTTCATTGAAGAAACAAATTTTCACCTCCAATATCACTTGCACCAACTTGATCATGACTTTGTTCCTCCACCATTTCAGCAAGGGTTTCGGCTACATTACCCGTAGCCCGATCTTTTCCAAATATATATGCAAATCTATCATACAGTGGAAAAGGTTTGCTTTTCCATCCATTGGCTTCTTTAATTTTTCTAAGATTATATCAACATAGCAAAACTAAAATTTAGCATGCGTAACACATATAGCAGCAAGAATATAACTAATGTATAAATAAAATAGGATATGAACCTCCACATAAGTTTGCCATGCGTCATCACTGTCAACTTCAACGCACTTTTTGACATCATTCCATGCAAATCCACTTGTGTTTATCATGTCAACGACCAAACTATATGTTTTTTTCCATTTCTTCAACTTTGACTCAATATGTGGAGTTGCCTTTATATTGGAATGAGGACATAAAACATTGACAAATTTCGCTATTTCAATCAAAGTACCTTGTTTGAAAGCACCGGTGTCACACCGTTGCTTCCGAGCAACAAAATCCTCAAGAACAGATAGTAATGTTTCTTCCTCAAATGCTTCCCATTTACGCCTTCTTCCTTTTGGCTCTTGAGTAGCATTCAAAATATTGTCGTTATCCATACCCAAACAAAAAATATTTGAATTTACTAAAATACAATACAAATAATCAATTTGCATAATATCCAATCAATTTGCATAATATCCAATTAATTTGCATACCATCCAATCAATAAAAAAGTTTTAACATTCACTGATGAGCAATCTAATCATTTTGCTAATATCCAACAAATGCATGATAAAAATGAATACTAAAATAAATCGTTATCATTAACACATATAACTAGTTCGATTGCTGGTTCCTAATTGCTCTCCACTCATTATACATTTCCTGAGCCATGGCATTCCTCTTTGCAGTCCACTGGTCATATGTTTCAACACTACCAACATATTCACCTTCTTCTGTACTTTGTCCATCTTCTATTATTGGCAAATTCTCCATTAGATCTACAAACATCTCTTGCCTAATAAGATTGTGTAGTAGGCAACAAGCGGTAATTATTCGACCTTGTGTCCTTATCAAATAGAAAGATGGACTCCTTAGTATCGACCACCTTCCTTTTCGCAAGCCAAAACAGCGTTCAATTACATTCCTTGCCTTAGAATGATTCATGTTAAAATATTCTTCCTTATTAGAAGGTGTTCGTCCCTCCCATTCAAATAAATGATAAGGTATTCCTCTATAGGGTGCAAGGAATCATTCACCATTTGTATAACCACCATCTACTAGGCAATAATAACCTAATAAAAAAAAGCAGACATTATTAGCGTTTTGTAGTTGACAAACAAAACTAGACCTAACTTACAAAGTTGAAACTAACTAATAGTCTTACTCGCTGGTACCTTAAAACCATTAGGCCTAGTAATTGCATCATGTAGCACTCTAGAGTCTGATGCCGAACCCTCCCACCCCGGAAACACATATATGAACTGTATATCTCCTGAACACACACCTAACACATTAGTTGCGACTCGACCCTTTCTTGTTCGGTATCTTGGTTTGTCAATTTCAGGTACATGCATATCAATGTGTGTTCCATCTAATGCTCCCAAGCAATTCTAAAAAAAAAAATAAGCTTTTGTTAATTTATACAAAGGGAATGAAGAGTTAAAGCTTAGGGAAAATGAAAAAAAAATTATCATCATACCTTAAAACATCGCCACCTAGGATTTGTAGAATCAATAGGCACAAGCTGAGGGACTTTTAGTAGGATACCTTGTAATCGCAAAATTCCTTGCAATACGCTATTGAAATACCTACTCATAGTCTCTCCCGACCTATAAAATCTACCGCCAACACTACGATTCTTAGTATGATGTGCTAGTATTTGTAAAGTCATACACACCTGCTCCTCTACAGACACCAAACCATTCGTTTTTACCCTCCCATCTTGACGAAGTAATTCACATAATATGCCAATAGTCCTTCTATCCATTCTCAATTCGTTGACACATTCAATATCAGTATTCCCTATTATACCATTCAGATAACACAAACTAATCTCTCGTCTAACAAGTGAACGGTTAGTCAAAGTGCGTCGTTCAACATGTCTCTGTTTAGCCCTTAGCATCAGCAACACAAGAATCGTACAAATGCAAATTGTCTTTAAATGAGACATCTGTAACAATAAGACCAATAAAAGCTTCCTTCGCTCCATATCTATCCAAACAAAAAAAAAAGGAAAAAAAAATAAGGACATTATATATGCAGAATACACACACACTATCCTTTCAAATATGCAGAATACACACAAACACACACACGCACACACACACACATAAATAACACACACACACACACACACACACACAAATTACACACACACACAGAGTACACAAACACACACACACACACACAAATTACACACACACACAGAGTACACAAACACACATACACACACACACAGAGTACACAAACACACACATACACACACACACACACACTATCCTTTCAAATGTGCAGAATACACACACACACACACACATATAGAGTACTCCCATTGTTGAAACCCTAAATTTTAAAAATAAAAAACAGCATGTGGGTAGGACTTCCAAGTTTCACAACTTTGACATCCTAAATTCCCAAGTTCCATCTCATCTTATGAAAACCCCAAATTCTAATCTCAATTTCACCTAAATATCAAAATCTTAATTTTTTTCAAGTGTAGAGGTCTATGATTGAAAATTTCTCAAACCCAAAACAACAAAATCAAATAAAGCCCAGTTAATATCACAAACTAATCCACACAAATCGACAAAATAAATCGAAGATTCGAAGCTTACCAGACAACTCAAGGCAGATGAGGGCGAGCAGATGCAGATGAGCGAAGACGCAGCGATGGGGGTGAGGTGGACGACGATGAGGGAGCATGGTAAGGACGATGATGAAGGAAGACACCGAGATGAGGACGATGAGGGCGATGAAGGAAGATGCAGAAAATCTCTCGTGTTTTCTCTGGCTTATGAGTCCACCCAAAATTGGGGATCCTCGTTAAGAACGGGTAAGGAGGTGTTTAATCCGAGCGAATCCCTGCTAAGCTCATTAAAGCTAATCCTGGTGCACACCAAACAAAGGACTATAGTCTAGTCCAGTCCAGTCCAATCCAGTGCTTCTTAATCATGTCAAACAAACGGGCCCTAAGAGTCTAAGACTATATATAAATATATAAAATAGCAGGCCCTTTAATAAGAGGAATTCTCATTTTTTTTTAAATAGGAACACCTTCTTGACAATTGGATTGACTTTAATGAAATTGTGTGGTTGATATTGAATCACAAATCACATAATCTCAACCACACAATTTCATTAAAATCAAATTCAATGATTAAAAAAACGTCCCTATTTTTTTCTGAAAATTAAGGATTCCTCTTCTTAAAGGATTCCTATAAAATAGATTGCAAATGTTCTGTAAAAAAACTAGTTCAATAATAAAAAAGAGGTGTTGACTTTTATACCGCAAGCGTGTGGCCGACATTTCAAAATGTTTTTTCAAACACTAGGTGAGAAATTTCCAAGTGTGAATGATGGAACTTCCTTTGATGTAACCATGGAAGTATTCCCTTTACTTGGTAAGGCATGTAGTCTTCCAATTAATAGATATGTTAGATATCAGTCTCTTCCCCATTATTTTCCAAAATGTATCCCAACCATTTTTCGTATCACTTTCATTATGAGAATCGTGTAAAACTTATGAAATAATTGAAAAAAAATATTGGAAGAAATTGATATTTTACTATAAAACTAGCTGATAATATGAAAAGTAGTCACAACTAAGAATGAGCATATTTACACATGCAATATCCCTTATTTTTTCGATATGAGATGCATACTCTCAATGTAACATCCCACATCGTCCAGGGGAGTGGATCCTCTAAGCCTTATATGTATATTCCCATCTCTACCTAGCACAAGGCATTTTGAGAGCTTACTGGCTTCGGGTTCTATCGGAACTCCGAAGTTAAGCGAGTTTGCACGAGGTCAATCCCATGATGGGTGATCCACTGGGAAGTTCTCGTATGAGTTCCCATAAACAAAACCTTGAGGGAGTGATCGGGGCCCAAAGCGGACAATATCGTGCTACGGTGGAGTCAAGTCCGGGATGTGGTAGGGGCCCAGGCCGGAATGTGACACTCAACAGGTGTGATTATGTGCATTATTATACCCCTAACGTAATTGACTAAATAAGTAACAACTTGGTACTATGACCTAGTAGTATTTATTTTCATTTGTAAGTAAAAGGTCTTTAGTTCGAATTTCGCAGATGACGAGTTCAACACATTGAGTATAAATATATCGTTGTATTAAAAAAAACTAATTAATTAATATTTTCTAGTAAAAATAGTGAAATTTAAATGTCATAACAGTTTAGAATTCACTCATAAAATATAAGTATATCATATAATTTCATTTCATGGAGCATGAATTAGCACAATAAGTATTTAATAATTTTATCCTAGAAGTACACTTGGGCATCCCAAATGAAAAAGAAAATGGCTTCTTGTGATGACTTCAAACTATAAATAACCATATCATTCAGAACTAGCTGAAGGCCATATTGTATTGTATACGAGTCAATATATAACCCTAGCAGAAGAACAAACTCACCAGAAAGGTAGAATAGCAGCAAATGGAAGGTACAAAAAGTGAGTTATATTTTGTTTTCATGAACTATGATCCTCAGTACGAACGCCTTCGAGCTGATCGGTTAGTACTATAAACTTCTCTTTACTACTTATTTAATATATAATTTTACCACATTTTATACTTTGCTTCATACAAATAAATTATGCTAATTATCTATAATATATATAGAACAAAAGGAGGAGCAAATGAGCTAGATTTGTACCTAAGCCGGAAGCATGACCAGTTGTTGGCAAGAACCCTTCAGCCAGGAAGCTACAAGAAGACATTGTCTCTCGTCATTGTTGATGGGTTTTCTGTGGAAATTACTGAGGACCAGGTCTGATTAATTTAGATAATTAATAATGCACCATTAATTATTGATTAGTGTTAGTATTTCTCTGTTGTGGGTTGAGTTTAATAATCTTTTTCCTTTTCCTGTTTTGTTTTTTTTCAGGCCAGTGTGCTTAGATCTGCGAAAGAAGTGAGACTGGTGGAGAAAAATCAAGAGCTTGCTTAATGTAGCAGACCGAAGAGGCTTAGAAAGTGTGAACGGGAAATGGGTTCGTATGGGAGCTTCTGTGGCTGCAGGTTGATTGGGGTGTGATTTTGGGTCAACCTAAAGATAATAATTAACAATAATGTTTCTGGGAAAAATCTAGGAAGATTTGTTTGAGAACTCGATCAGTTTACGGATGCTAGCAATATAATATCACCTATTTAGTTGAAGTGCTTTTGGAGTTGCGATAACTCTCTCTCTCTGTTTGGGATCCAGTGAGTTCTCACCTATAAAACCATTCTCATTACTGAGTTAACTATTACACTAAAGGAGGTATACTATAGTTATTGGTTGTCTGTCATGTATTATTTCTCGTTTTGGAATATATCGATCTCGTTTTCGTTGGTTTCTGGCTTAATATCCGGTGTGAGAGATAAGTTTACATGCAAGAGTTTTTCTCTTCATATATATAAATAAGAATTTCTATTTCATTTTATCTTTAATATTGGGAGAGTATAGAATTGAATTGAATTTCGGGTGCATGTTAACCACTTAAACCATTCCTTAGAAAATGAAATGAAAGAAAATAGAACAGAATTCGATTCTAATCATATCCATATATGTAATTCTCAATACCGGTATGATCAAACTCGTTTTACTAGTAATATCATAAGGGTTCAGCGGCATCTTCCCTAATTCATCCTCTCATAACCTACTACTCATTATACTATCCGTCAGATATAGCGATTTAAGTGATTAAACTCGTTTTAGTCTCCACTCACATGGGTTTTGTTTGGTTTAATAAGAGGCCAATTAAGCAATTGTATATGAGACTATATACTAGTATATATTGTGCTTATTAGTTTATTGAAACAGTCCCGCGAGTGTATTTTAACAGCCACTCAAACGAGTCACCACATAAATAAATAAAAAAGAAGAAGAAATAAATACCAAAAAGAGAGGAAAGAAGAGAGATTCCTTCCTCCTATAATTTGAGCAGGAACAGGAAATGTTGGCCCTGGACTCCCACCAGCAGCAGCAGCAGCTGCTACTTTATCTAGTTAAGGTTATAAAGCGAGCATGGCAGATATGGTGGTACGACTTCCATTTTTCAACAAAGTTTTGAGAGACCCTGACATATTCATGTGCATCAGTGCATGTACCAATTCACACTTCAATTCAATCAGAGTACTGACCCTTGACTCATCACATATCCACATGCTGCAATATCGTATACGATAGTAGCTTATTAGGCCGATAAATTATTGTATGGTATTAAAATTCAACGTGGGGTAAGCAATAGATTTATATTATAATATTATAGTACGTGGTTATTAATATTTTTTTTTTTTTTTGATAAAGCGAACTGATTATTAATATTAAGCTCTAAATTTTGCATGTCTTTTATTTATCTTATACTGACATATTCATGTGCATCAGTGCATGTACCAATTCACACTTCAATTCAATCAGAGTACTGACCCTTGACTCATCACATATCCACATGCTGCAATATACTATACGATAGTAGCTTATTAGGCCGATAAATTATTGTATGGTATTAAAATTCAACGTGGGGTAAGCAATAGATTTATATTATAATATTATAGTACGTGGTTATTAATATTTTTTTTTTTTTTGATAAAGCGAACTGATTATTAATATTAAGCTCTAAATTTTGCATGTCTTTTATTTATCTTATACTATGTGACAATATTATTCGAGCATCATTCAGCAACTTTTCCACTAGTCACCTTCATTTTACATGTGTATGTCTATCCTCCTTACTAAAGTACTAATTTCATTTCACATATATACCATCTCTAACTCCTTTTGGGAAAAAATAATAATCAAATGCTCAAAGAAAAAACATATTTTCCCACTCTTGAAACGTGAAAGTTGCTAGTTGAGCAATGAAATTGATAGAATACCAAATATACGCGGTTCACTTGCATTAAGGATGCCATTAGCTAGGAAGAAAAGGCACTTTGTCATGTAATGAAAAGATTTCATACAAGTAATAATTTTGTTGCCGTAGCTTTTAGACAATGGAGGTTCGTTGGGATAGATTAGTCAGGCAAAACCCATCGCACGAAATCTTAAATAATGAAAACACAATTCTGTCGCGCAAAACAGAGTTAAACCGCCAAATATATTCTTTAGGCGAACGTGTGTGCTGACCAAATTGATCCGACGGAATCATCTTGCCTGACAAAGATATCTGTTGGCCATCAAAGAATTAAATAATGTAATGACCTTGATCCAACGAAAAAGTCGACAGGGCAACTCCAATAACCAAATTTAAAAAATAATAAACTTTTGTGCGTCGGGCTAATATTTTCTAATTAAAAAACAATATTAACAACATATATTAAATATGAAATATTTTAAATTGATAATCAGGTTTGTTCATCGTATTTTTCTAGGGTTTGAGGATTGTATTTGTAAAAAATCAACAAAATCAAAGTTAAAACGACCATTAAATCATGATTTTTCTTTTCTAACCGTTGAATGATTTTATTCCGTTATTTAATCTCTGAATGTTTATTTTTGTTGATTTTTGGCGTATGACATCTCGAAGTATATGCAAACATGTTTATATCTCTTCCAACTACTAGTTCTAATATTACCATTGTAAATCTTATGCACGCTGCGAACGCCCACAATTGGCTACCAAGCTCCTTCCTTTTCTCGCACTTTTTCTCTAATTTTTACCACCAATACTACTCCCTAGTTCTCCATAATTGAAGCAAATAATAGGGCCAGTTTGGTGGAAGTTCGTTGGGAAAGGTTGGTCGCCCTAAACCATAATTAAGCCTTTCACGACGGAGAGAAATAGTGAGCCGATGAAACAGTTCGTCAGTTAAAGTTGACCTAGTCAACGAACCAGTTTTTCGTTGTGCAAACCTTTAGGTATTACGTGCCATTTTGTTTTTCTTGGTGCCAAGATCTTGTTCGACGAATGTAACCTTGCCCAACAAACTTGTTCCGTCTCGTACAAGGTTTCCATAAATCCTTTGCCCTATCAACTGAAAAATCCGTCTGGTAAAGAGCCTTTACCCGACAAAATCTTCTCTGCTGGGTAAGATTTTGTTCAGCAAGCCCTATTTTCTGGTAGTGTATGATTAATTAATTCATGAAGAGCCAAATTGCAAATTCAGCAGGAAACCTGTATGTAAAACGGAAGGGCACAAACCCGCCTCTCTACTCCCTTTGACTCAAGTCTTGAAAGGAGCAAGTATTGTATACACAAGTACGCCATCATAGTATTATTAAGGGTACAAATGTAATACAGTTAGTAATATAGTTAGGTAGTTAGTATTTTGGTTAAAGTAGTTAGGATTTCTTTATAAATAGTATGTGTAACCTTCATTTCAGTAAGTCAATACAAAACCTATTTCTCTCTAAACTCTTTCTCTAAAATCTCTCTTGCTTCTCTCTGTCTTCTTCCTCTTCCTCTGTACCAATCTTTTATCTTTGCAATGTAGTTAATATGGTATCAGAGCCACCAGGCTCACGCCATGGATTCTGGTGGTTTTTCTTGTAGTTTACATTTCCTTTTCTTCCTAGTTTAGTGTCTCTTCAAAATTCCATTAGATTCTTGGGTTGATTTTTCTGCAATTGTTGGGATCGTGATTGTGATTGTTGGGTTGATCTTCGGTGCTCCGTTCTGTCCGCCGTTCGCGATGACGCCGTTGAGCTGCGAGAGAACCTTCGCAGTCATGGTCGCACTCCTTCAAACTCTCCGATTCGATATCTTGAAGAACTCTTCCTGCAACACCCTCAGATTCTCATACGCAACGCACATCCTTGGTGCCGTTTTTCTTCTTTCGTTGAAGCATAAAGACTGCAGGTTCTTTTGGGTTTCTCGATCTGGGTTTCTTCATCTGCGTTGGTTGATTCAAGATTGGAGTTTCGATTCATGGTTGCTGTTTATCAGGTCATTCTTGAAATTTTATGCATCGTTGGTGTTTGATGAATTGCTGCAGTGAGTTTTTGTTCTTCCGCTGACATTGTTGAAGATTTATGGTGCTTCTCTGTGATTTGGGTAATGATTTCGACTATCTATCATCAAGCTTGTTCTCTTTTCTGGTTTCTGAAATGCACATCACCTGTTTGTTTTAATGCATCAGAAGTATATTTTTCGAGGTATATTGTCGTTACAAACTGAAACTTCATTGTTATCTGCCAAATCTCAACAATTCCTTTCGAGGGGCATGAATAGCCAAACACAGGCAGTAATCACTCTTTGTGGGTTTTGGTCGGTGACGGCAAGGAAAGCAGATGGAATGTCGCCGACCTCACCACTGCCGAGCGCCGTCTCTGGGTGGTTATGCCGTCTCTGGGTTTTCGTCTGTGCTTTTCTGGTGTTATTTGGTCCATGTTTTGTTCTCTGTTCCACTACTTTGATGATCTGGTGGAGCAGCCAATTCCCTGCAAAAGTGTATGTTTCTTTGATTTTGTGAAGTAGTCGATTGATTTCTTTGAGGCACGAAGCCATTATTCCTTGTTTGCGGCACGAAGCCATTTCAAGTTTGTTTGTGGCACGAAGCCAGTTACTGTTTGTTTGCGGCACGAAGCCATGTTTTCTGTATAGATTAGTTGATTGAAGTTTGTGGGCACGAAGCCATGTTTTCTGGATAGATTAGTTGATTGAAGTTTGTGGGCACGAAGCCATGTTTTCTGTATAGATTAGTTGATTGAAGTTTGCGGCACGAAGCCATGTTTTTTGTATAGATTAGTTGATTGAAGTTTGTGGGCATGAAGCCATGTTTTCTGTAAAGATTAGTTTATTAGAGTTGTAGCTGTTGAAAGGCTTGGTTTGCAGGGGGTTGTTCTTTGCCGGCTTAAAATGAATCTGAGGTGTGTATTCATTTGTTCTCCATTGCTGAAAGCTTGAAGCTTGAAGGATTGTAGAGTTTGCTGTGTTGTGTTTGTTAAAAGTCAAGAGTTTGTTGATCTAGAAGAACAAGAAGTTGTGTATGATGGAAAACTATGTGCAGATCAGAGATTTATTGATGACATATGTAAACATAATGATGCTGTCTTACATCTGTTGTTTTGGAAGTCTGCAAAAGTTAGGGCCAGACCAATTCAGAAGAACTTTGAACTGTCAGTTGTGGCAACCATAGTGGGAGACTGCAGTTGAGAAGAAACTGAACCATTTATCCATATTTCGATGTTTGCTATTTGAGAATCTGTTGCAATCTCACACTGGGATACCCCAGTTGAGATTGAGGGGGAGTATTAAGGGTACAAATGTAATACAGTTAGTAATATAGTTAGGTAGTTAGTATTTTGGTTAAAGTAGTTAGGATTTCTTTATAAATAGTATGTGTAACCTTCATTTCAGTAAGTCAATACAAAACCTATTTCTCTCTAAACTCTTTCTCTAAAATCTCTCTTGCTTCTCTCTGT